GGCTTGTCTATTTAAGACATGCTCAGTCTGTCCTACTTTGCCTGAGCAACGTCTTGTTGTTGGAGCTCCCTTGTGTTTCTACTGAAAATCCTTTATAGTCTATCTGTGTACCGACCTCAGCTTCATTCCTGACATTGCTCCTATATAGTCTATCTGTGTACCGACCTCGGCTTCATTCCTGACATTGCTCCTATATAGTCTATCGGCCTCGGCTTCATGCTCAGTCTGTCCTACTATATAGTCTATCTGTGTACCGACCTCGGCTTCGTTCCTGACATTGCTCCTATATAGTCTATCTGTGTACCGACCTCGGCTTCGTTCCTGACATTGCTCCTATATAGTCTATCTGTGTACCGACCTCGGCTTCGTTCCTGACATTGCTCCTATATAGTCTATCTGTGTACCGACCTCGGCTTCGTTCCTGACATTGCTCCTATATAGTCTATCTGTGTACCGACCTCGGCTTCATTCCTGACATTGCTCCTATATAGTCTATCTGTGTACCGACCTCGGCTTCATTCCTGACATTGCTCCTATATAGTCTATCTGTGTACCGACCCCGGCTTCGTTTCTGACATTGCTAGTTTTCCGCCAGTCCTGACCTCGGCTTGCCTACTGGATTCCCTGTGTCTACTCCCGTTGTACCCTGCTCTCACTAGCGGTCTCCTCTACCCCAGATGGGTGTACCTGGGGGCCACAACCTGGTCCCAGCCTGAGGCAAGTCCATCCCCACCATCAGGGGCCGTGGTGAACAAGCAGGCTGGGGCTTAGACTCCGCGCCCAGGGGAACCCCAAGTTGTGGATCAAAGAGCTCACTACCACAGGTGCTGACAGTTTCATCTCTGTCCTGTAGCTATTCTTCCCTCAGGGGGCACAGGACCTTTACCTGTATCAGCCAAGGTAGGCCCCAACCAGTCCTATGAAGGCCAACACAGCCAGAAGCTGTTACTTCTTCTGCTCTCTACTTCCTCCTCCCCTGTGCCCACTCACATTAGTTTTGTGGCCGAATAGGCAGTGCTCTGCCACCCTCCTACACTTTCCTGATTCTGCCCAATGACCAAGCCTAAAATTAAACAGCTACATAAAGTAAACTGATAGGTAATTTGAGGCTGCATGTGTGCTATACAGACATTGCACAGTGGCATATGGAAGCATGTTAGAACAATTTATTGTTAAAATACAATACAAATTACTTACAAACAACTAGTATTTTATTTTTATAATATAAAAGGGTTTGTGGCTGGTAGGGATAAGATTAAAATTTAGGTCGATGTAGAGTTCGACCTCAAATTTACATGTATGCAGCTTGAACAGGAAAACTAAATTGTTAGATTTGGTCAGTTTGCCTGCCTGCCTGCCAAACCTCTGCTGGCTCGGTTAGAATTAATTCATATAGTTGCAGTATCACTACTATCACCAGGGCTTTTATTTTGCAGGAATGTGGGGAAACACAGTTCCAGCACCTCCAGCACTGAATGTTTGTAATGGCATTGGGTTCTGGAGTGTGCTGGAAGGTCTGTTGATGCTGGCTGCTGGGGCATCTGTTGTCACTGTAGGGGATCTATTTCTGCTTGGTGGTCTATTGTTGCTGGGGGGGGAGGTATAGTTGCTGGTGTGGGATCTATTGTTGCTGGGGGGTCAGTTGTTTGCCGGAAGGTCTGTTGATGCTGGCTGCTGGGGGATCTATTTTTGCTTGGTGGTCTATTGTTGCTGTGGGGGCAGTTGTTTGCCGGAAGGTCTGTTGATGCTGGCTGCTGGGGGATCTATTTTTGCTTGGTGGTCTATTGTTGCTGGGGGGGGGCACAGTTGTTTGCTGGAAGGTCTGTTGATGCTGGCTGCTTGGGATCTATTTTTGCTTGGTGGTCTTTTTTTGCTAGAAGGGATCTACTGTTGATGGAAGGGTCTGTTGTTGCTAAGTGCTGAAGAGTCAGTTGATGTTGGCTGCTGGGAGAAATGTTGTTGTTTCTAGGGGTCTGTTGTTGCTGGGTTAGTATTTTGTTGTGGGGGGTCCATTGTTGCTGGGACAGTCTATTGCTGCTAGCTGCGGGGAATCTATTTTACTGCTTTTCTTGTTATCATTAACAAATTCCATACAAGTTCCTTAGCACCACAAAATGATAATTGACTCTGTACTCTCCAAAAGGAGTAGTAATGGGAGGTGGGTAAGGGGTGGGACAAGGAACAGTGCTCAGAAGGGGGTAGGGGGGCAGAGACAAGAAGTGACTCAAAAGGGGGAGTTCCTACACCTATTCTCTGAAAAAAAAAAGCCCTGACTGCCACCAAATGTCTGCTTACTGCTTCTTAGTTGCTAGGATATTGGCGTTTCCAAACAGAATGAAGCAGATGGGAAATGTAATTTTACATCAATTCATTTTTTTTCTACTTTTCTGTTAGTACATCCTACAGGTGTGCCACTGCACAAGCAAGTTTAAAGTGATATTGAAAGCAACTTTAAAAAAAAAAAAAATTAACAATCGCATCATACATACCTGCTCTGTGCAGTGATTTTGCAAAGAGCAGCTCCAATCCTACCCTCCTCAAGTCCCCTGCCAGCGCTCCTGGCCTCTCCCTCCTGCCAAGTTCACCCAGAGCAACCAGCTTGCTATTGGAGCACCAAAGCAGGCTCACTCCTGAGCAGCTGCTCTGCATTTCTATTCACACACACAGAGCTGTGACTCGCCCCGCCCCCTGTCTCTCCTCATTGCCTCATTGGCTGTGACTGGCAGCAGCGGAAGCCAATGGGGAGGGAGAGTCCTCAGGGAGCTGAGTCTCTCGTGCACATTGCTGGATCACGATGGGGCTCAGGTAAGTATTGGAGAGCTGGGGGGGCTGCTGCACACAGAAAGTTTTTTACCTTCATGCATAGAATACATGAAGGTAAAAAACCTTGAGCCTTTACAACCACTTAAGGATGTTCTTTTTCTTTAAATGTCCCTTTTGCCTTAGTACATCCTATAGATGTACCACTTCATGTACAGTGTGCCCTAGGCAGCTGCCTAGTTTGCCTAGTGGAAGCACTGGTACTGCATGTAGTAATTGAAAAAGGTCAGCAATAAAAAATAACAAGATTCTGCTCTTAAAAATGTCAGTGCAGTTTAGGGTTCATTTAATTCAATCTGGGCTGCACCAAAGGCCCTCAAATTGAAACCAGGCCAATTTGTTCATAACTGGTGGCTGTTGGTCATCAACAGGAAGGCATAGAAAGGGCAGTAAGTCCTACATTTGCTCTCTTCATGATCTGCAACAGATAAAGAATCTTCCACATCCAGCATGGTTCTGTGTGTGCTAGATGTTTGGTTGACGCCAGGGGTGGACTGACCATTTGGAAACTCGGGTACTGCCCGAGGGCCTGGGGTCAGTAGGGGGCCCCATGAGATGCCCCTGGCACCTTTTCCATAGGCTTTTTTGAGTTTGGGCACACAGGGGCCCCATGATCCCCTATTGCCCAGGGGCCCCATGTGTTGTCAGTCCGCCCCTGGTTGACGCTGTGAGGTTTCAAACACTCCCACTGACACTCCCAGAAGCATGTCAGATGCTGACGTTTCTTCAGCCGCAATAGGTCTTGAAAAGGTTTTGGACCTCTTTTTTCGCAGGGGGCTCTGGTTGAGGTTTTTTGTAGTTATATCTTTAGCAAGACAAACCAGCATCTTTCAAAGGCATTTTTTTAACCTTATTTCATAGAGATAAATGTTACTTGTGTACACCTACCCCCACAGGAGCCGCTAGTATTTTCCAAGGCTTTCCCCCCAAATCTTCACCCGAAGCCAAACACACTGTATTTCCTATAGCCAGGTGCATACAACTTCCACTCGTCACTCCAATGAGCAGTCTAGGGGTTGTAGTTTTTGTTGTTTTTATTTTGTTTTTAAACTGTGATAGGGAAGGGATATAGTGGGATACTCCACATTGAACTATTCACAATTGAAGAGAACTTTCTCTAAGTGGATCTGTGAGTTTTCTTAGTAGAACTATGTAGCAAACTGTACAATACCAGACAGGATCTGCAGACATCCCCCTCAGTCAGCTCTCAGAAGAATCCTGGGTTTCAGCGTTCTAGGCCCTCGGGTCACCCGACTGAGTCTTCCTGTCAGTATGTGCCAGGGGAGGCAGCTGCCTCCCTAGCTGGAACTCTCTTCTCAGGAGAAGAGGATGAAGAACCTCAATCCCATATGCTCACTGAATATAAATACCAGCACCCAGCATGCTAGGAGGCACCACTCCATGTAATTGGCTGGAGCTGCATCCATATTCATAGTGCTCATCTGCATGGTTCATACTATCAATACAGAACCTTCCTTGGTTACCTGAATACAGATGGACCTTCACCCAGATGCAGCAGCACTGTGCATCACACAGGATGAACTAGCTAAACAATTGTAGCTCTTCTCTTAACCACTTCAAGTCCGGACACTTTCACCCCCTTCCTGTCCAGGCTAAAATTCAACTTTCAGTACGTCACACTTTGAATGACAATTGCGCAGTCATGCAACACTGTACCCATATGAATTTTTTAGCATTTTTTTGAGACAGATAAAACTTTATTTTGGAGGTATTTATTCAGCACTGGGATTTTTATTATTTTGCTATATAAATGAAAAAGTCCAAACATTTTGAAAAAAAAAGTGTGTTTTTTTAAAATAAAATTTAGCAAATAAATAGTCTTTCTTCATAAATCTTGTCCAAAATGTATTTAGCTATCTTTTTAGCAAAAAAAAAATAAAATAACCCAAATTAGTTTATAAACAAAAATTATAATTTTTCAAAACTTTTTTGTACATTTTGATTTTATTTTTTTTATTTTATTATTTATGTTTATGTTTATGTAAAGCGATTTTGACCTAAAGGGACGCTTTTTGGATGCCATGGACTTTTCTCAGTTTCCAGGCAGAAAGAACAGTAAACATGCAGGCAGGGCACAGGACAAAGCACTCGGGACAAAATGTATGTGAAATGCTTTGAAACAGTAATGTTTTACTATGTGATTTTAGTGTATTTAGTGAATGTTACTTTTTGACATTTTTACGTTTCCCGCCAGTTCCGTCCCCGTACGTCCTGACGTTGCAGGGAACGGAACCCGGAAGATAGATGCCGGCATTGGCCGGAGGAGATGGCTGGGGATGCTGCAGGGGGGACATCGCGGGAGCGCAGGACAAGGTAAGTGCAGAAGGGATCCCGGAGCAACGCTGCAGTGTATTCCTGAGTGTAGCTCGGGGTTACCACTTGTGGTGCTGAAACTTTCCCCCGAGCTACACTCGGGAATACCGCCAGGGAGGTTAAGCAGAAGACCATATTATACTATACTCAACTGTCTACATCAGTGGTTCTCAACCTTCCTAATGCCGCGACCCTTTTAATACAGTTCCTCATGTTGTGGTGACCCCCAACCATAAAATTATTTACCCAGTAATTATAATTCATGAAGTGTCGTTTTACCTCCAATACTGCTGCTTTCAACACAGTAGCTGCTTTTAACAGAGTAGCTGCTTTCTACACAGTAGCTGCTCTTTACACATAGGAAATATGTGTTTTCTGATGGTCTTAGGGGACCCCTGTGAAAGGGTCGTTCGACCCCCAAAGGGGTCTCGACGCACAGGTTGAGAACCACTGGTCTACATCCTAGCACCTTTCTAGGAGGGTGCTACACTTGCAAGCTAGCTGCAACCAAATGTTGAAGGGGAGGGTTTGTGGGATCCCTGCTATGTGCAAGCTCCTTTTTGAAACCATGTCCCATGAGCAATGCTAGCTAGTGTGCTGTCGACTTGTAAGTCTGGTTTTACTGTATGTGTATCTATCTATCTATCTATCTATCTATCTATCTATTTGTCTATCTACTATATATCGCATTTTTAGATACTTAAATAAATACCTGCTTGGAGCTAATATATCTTATACTGTAAATCCTCTGTGCTAAAGGAAGGGCCATAAATTCTCAAATAGTCATTCACATTATACTGAGTGATACCAGAGGGCAGCTGGTTAATTAACCTGTAACTAGTGTATCCACATGCAGCAGTTCACTAACCAGATATAATAACACGTCACCATCCAGCCTATCAGTGTCCAATTTCATGTAATAATGTACTGCTAAATTCACTGTGATGGCCATTGCTTTGAATTATTATCTGCCATGTCCAGGCACAAAGCTATTTCTAAAACTCCTGCTTCAGCACATCTTACTACTAAGGTGTTATACATTTCAGTAGAAGGCACAACATTTTCCACATCAGGGGTGTAAAAGCTAAAAAAAAAAAAAGATTTTACACATTTGACAATGTTCTACGACTCTGTGCAGGTTTATATGTATAATAATGTAGCATGGAGCACAATGACTGTGTGCGCTAACCTAGGGTGACCAATACAATTTTATCTTAATCTTTAAATGTTCTAACATGATTAAACAGAAATTTAACAGGTAGCTGAGTTATTTTATTTATTTATTTCAGGTAATTATATAGTGCCATCAATTTACGCAGTGCTTTACACATATATATTGTACATTCACATCAGTCCCTAACCCTCAAGGGGTGTACAATCTAAGGTCCCTAACTTACATTCATGCATGCACATACTAGGGCCAATTTAGACAGGATCCAATTAACCTACCAGCATGTCTTTGGAGTGTGGGAGGAAACCGGAGTATCCGGAGGAAACCCACGCAGGCACAGGGAGAACATGCAAACTCCAGGCAGGTGGTGCCGTGGCTGGGATGTGAACCAATGACCCTAGTACTGCCAGGCGGAAGTGCTAACCATTTAGCCACTGTGCATGACACTTTTATATTTTTTTTAATGCAACACGTTTGGCCAAGACCATGTAACCACTTAAAGCACAATGCCAGCTAAAAATATTAAGATAAAAAAAAAGGAATACGGTAGTCTACTAAAAGATAAAATAACAAAACAAGCTTTTGCAGTAATATTTAGCTTCAGTCCAGAGATTTTCTCCTCAATATTTTTTACCGCTGCTAGATGTCCTCATTCTAACAGCAAACATCAATCAAACTACTTCTCAGTTGTCTTGGACCTGCTACAGCCTGTGACTAGACAGTGACAGGAGAAGCAGCACAATGATGAGCTGTACAAAAACATAAAAAAACATAAAAAAAACCTCTATAGCGCAAATGGAGAAAGGGTGATTAGGACCCCGTAATGAGCTTATCTCTCTCTAACTCCTATCAACATGCTTCTTGTCATCATTGATTGGCTCCTTGTGCTGCTTCTTCCTCAGAAAAACGTCCCGCCCTGCTGTACAGTGGACTATAAAAGGCGGATATCAGGTCAAATTCAGACACTTACACTGCTTGCATTAAAAAAAATAATTTAATTGTTTCTTAATGATTACAGATCTGCATTTATTTGTATTTTTATATCTTCCTAGAGTCCAGCTTTAAGAAAACCCTGGTTTCACTAGTGATTGACCACACTGTAAATCTTTGCTTTGGGGTGTCTTTTAACTCTTATTTTTTAAATCCTTTTGGCTCTGTCACTCTAGAAGAGTCTGTGTACACTATATTCATTTATTATAGGTACTTATATAGTGCTGTCAATTTATGCAGTGCTTTACATATATATTGTACATTCACATTGGTCCCTAAGCATCAAGGGGCATACAATCTAAGGTCCCTACCTCACATTCATACATACGAGGGCCAATTTAGACAGGAGCCAATTCACCTAGCAGCATGTCTTTGGAGTGTGGGAGGAAACCGGAGTACCCAGAGGAAACCCACACAGGTACAGAGAGAACATGCAAAGTCCAGGCAGATGGTGCCCTGGCTGGGATTCGAACCAATGACCTTAGTACTGCCAGGTGGAAGCGCTAACCATTTAGCCACTGTGCTGCCCATGTAGCTAGTATATAAGAGTGTTGGGTACCCATTTCTAAAACTGTTAGTATTAAACGAGAAGTAGGGCCAAAACTCTTTTAGTCCTACTTCTCCTTTAGGTCACAGGAGTGCATTTAGTTCTGCAATCCTGTGACCCACATTCAACCGACAGCGGGCTAAAACTTGCATTCAGCTGATTTCCCTTAGCCAGTCCAGGCTCTGGAGGGATCCCAACTTTAATGTCAGGATCCACACAGATGCCTGACCGGCAGCTGGTTCAGCACTGCTGAGAGCCTGAGCCAACCACTCAAGCATCTCTCCACAGCTCAAGGCTCCAGTAAGCGCTGGAGGGGCAGAGCAGGGAGTTGGTGACTGACAGTCTCTGCTCAATTAACCTCCCTGGCGGTATTCCCAAGTGTAGCTCGGGGTAAAGTTTCAGTACCACAAGCGGTAACCCCGAGCTACACTCGGGAATACAATGCGGCGTTGCTCCACGATCCCTCGATCACTTACCCCTCCCTCCTGCAGTGTCCTGGCATGTAATCCAGCGGATGCCGGCATCTGTCTTCTGGGTTCCATCCCCTGTGAGCGTCGGGACGTATGGGGGACGGAACGGTGGGAAATTCAAAAATGACATAAAGTGACATTCACTAAAATCACTAAAATCACATAGTATAACATTACTGTATCAAAGCATTTCACATAAATTTTGTCCCGAGTGATTTGTCCTGCGCCCTGCCTGCATTTTTACTGTTCTTTCTGCCTGGAAACTGAGAAACGTCCATGGCGTCCAAAAAGCGTCCCTTTAGGTCAAAAGCGGTTTTAGACCAGCTAGAGAACAGCGATAGTAAATCAGAACTACTTGCAGATTTTGAATGATTATGTTTCTTGGGGAAATTCGTCATCAGACACTGAAAACGATTTTGCAACTTTGCTCAGTGATGTGTGAACTTTGCGCTATATTTAAAATTTCAGTGTTTTTGGTTTGATTATATTATTGAATTACATTTATTATTATTATATTATTATTTTTATGATTATTTATTAAATTATAATGTATCATTTTGTGTTTCAAGTTTTATCCTACCCGGGATGTTTACTAGACTCTTGTTCAGACAGATTTCAGTGAGTTATTCCTAACAATTACAGGCCTACAACAAAAAATACATATTTCCATGCAAAATAATGGTACCGCTTTCAGCACCAAAAATCTGAAATAATCATACGGCCAGAGAGGTTAAGACTGAGAACTGAGTGATCAGCATTGTTTGATTGCATAGTTCTCAGTCTTAGAAGTGACTGGGGGGCAAATGCAGCATTGGACCAATGCTGCATCCATCTAGGTGTGTATGATTGTTTTGTTTTTTTTTTTAAATCCACTTCTCTTTTATTATAGAGTTGCCCTCTCCTGTTTGCGGTTCTAACAGTCTCCACTCTTCTGGGAAGACTTTCTACAAGATTTCGGAGTGTACCTATGGGAATTTGGGTCCATTCAGACAAGTGCTTTGTGTTGTCAGGTACCGATGTTGGGTGAGAAGACCTGGCTTGATAATGTTCCAATTCTTTCCAAAAGTGTTAAGTAGGGTTGAGGTCAGGGCTCTGTGCAGGTCACTCAAGTTCCTCCACACCAAACTGGTCAAACCATGTCTTTATGGATCGGCTTATTTTGTGCACAGGGGCACAGTCATGCTGCAAAAGAAAAAGGGTCTTCCTCAATTTGTGACCATAGAGTTAGAAGCTCACAATTGTCTAAAATGTCTTTGTATTGTGTAGCATTAACAGAACCCTTCACTGGAAGTTCACCTGAACTCAATAAATTGGGAGGGTGTTCACAAAAAAAAAATTTGGCCATGTAGTGTTTATAAAGAAGGGCATCAAAGGTTTTTTTTTCCTCATAGTATTCTTTTTATAAGCTGCTGGTAAGAATGCCAAGCTTGCATGTGCCTACAGCACCAATTTGTTTCTATTGGACAGTACTGGATGACTGGGGCCACAGTGAATACAAATCATAAATGGAGAACCAGGGAATGAATGGCGACCATGTTTGTATAGCTGTATACAATCTTCATAAATATTCTATAATTCCGTAGTGACATGCGCACTTGGGGGCTGGAAGACCATATGCTTTTTTAGCATGGCAAGGTGGCTGACTGGAGCAAATGTCAGATTTCAGGGGCCACATAGCTCTGGCTATCAGATCCAACCCTTATTCTTAGGCAAAGTATGAAATGCTATACAAAGCTAAAAAATATAATCAAATATAAAGACAAGTAAGCCTACACATTTGTAATTCATTGGTACATATTCATTCCATAAGACTTGGTTGATTGTGACTGCTTCCCTTTAAAATGGAACTCTGAAGTTAAAATAAGACCCATTTAGCATCAGACTGTTAAATTTACTTTTTTGTAATTGTCTATAAAATGATAAAAAAGTGATATCAAAATTCCACTTCCAAGAGGCCAACTGTCACCTTTTTTTCTAAATCACGTTATTGAGTGAAATAGA